CCCCCCCTAACTCGAAAAAAAAAAAAAAACATACAAACAAATTGGGCTGCATCGAAAAGGGGGCAAAGCCCCCCAGCCGAAGGGGCAGGGGGCAAACCACTTTCTTTCCCCTTATCTTTTCTTCCCTTCCCTTTCCTTTTCTCTTTTTTTTCTTCTCTTTCTTTTTCTTTCCCTTCTCTTTTTTTTTTTCCTTTCCTTCCCATCCCTTTTTTCTTTTTTCTTTTTTTTTTCTGTCTTTTTATATCAGATGTGCATGAGGCGTATGAGGTGTACGCCTCTAGCACGCCTCATGAAAAAAGCACAAGAGGTGTACGCCTCAGTGGTGTCAGCGCCTCTGGCTTACGCCTCAGGGCGTTTTGGGAGCGCTTCACCTAGAGGCACGCCTCCAGGCGTACGCCTCCCACGCCTTTTAAAACACTGGTTGTAGAAGCATAAAGATAGAATATTATCAAAAATAAATAAGCAGGCCTCCACTGGGATACACTTTTTGCACCTTGACTTCAGCTGATGGGCACACCTAAGTGCAAAAGGTCTGTACTATTGGCAATATCAAGATAAGGTGCAGTAGTTGCACCTTGCTGCACTTTAGCATCAAGAAGCACCTCATGCACTGTTCACAACACTTCCTTTCTATGTGGGTCATATAGGATTTAATCCAGATTGCTCAATGCAGTTCATATTTTTGTGAAGCTATAGCCCATACATGGAATCCTCAATAAACAAACTTAATCATCAACACCATTTCAAACCATTTATATTCATTTACATGTAGCAATCACAGCATGGAAACACTATCCAACTTATGGTCGTTGAATTATGGATAATATACAGAAAGTGGATAACCATTAAAGTAATACAAGCATATATTTGGGACACATGGAGAAAGAAGAAAGCAGCTCAAAGTCAGACATTTTAGTCCATTACTGCAAATGAATTCAAAATCCTATTTACATGGTCAAGTTTACTAGTTATATGATATCTTAGTGTCTCACAGGGTAGTAACAATTTTACATGTATGATATGGACACACATGTTGATGTTTATCTAGCAACAGGTAGTACCTTGTCCATGAGCCAGTAGCCAATTGTTGGCATGTACTGCACCAAGTACATAACAGCAAGCACAGGCTGTGAAGCAGAGAAAAAATGTAAGAGTTAAAGGTTAAATCAGGAAATTTGAAAAATATAATTCCTAAATTTAAGAAAAACGAAGATAAGAAAGTAATTAATTTTAACAAGCATAGTTTTTCTCCAATGTTGCTTTTCATTTTTATTCAGCTTTTTCTGAACACAAACTTCATTTAACAATGGAAAGGATAGCTTAGGGGTTGCTCAATATTTTGAATTGTTTACCTGACTTATGCAATGCTGATGTCATAATTGATGTACTTAAAATTTGTAAAAATGTAAGTTAAAAAATCCAACAGGACATTGAGCATGTAGGTGAGGCACCCATCACTTCGTTAGCTGAAATGAATGAAAAAATGAAAGAAAAATATTTTCACCCATTAGAAGAGGCAACTATTGGAGCAATGGATGAACTTAAAACAAGGGTCATTAACTATGACTGATTACCTTAACCGATTTGAGGACTTGTCTATGAAATGTGATAGAAGAATAGAACAATGGGTGACTCTCACTAAGTTCATTAATGGATTGAGTCCTTAACTAGAAAGGAAACTGAATCTGCATTCTCCTGACACCATAGAAGAGGCTTACCATTAGGCCTGTAATTAGATCAGATTCACCTAAATTAAAGTTCAACTCACAAGGAATTTAATGGCATCCAAATCCAATCAGATGTGCATCCAAGTTCGATTCTGATTGGATTTTTCGGATTTTGAATTCCATCCAACTCTGATGTACATATTTTAGGCCCAATATAAAATTATCTTGTTCAGAAGCCCAATTATGTACTAAATACACAAAAGGCTTTAAATTTTTTTATTCAAAACAACTCTTAAAAGTTCAATGAAAACAAACAAAGGTTTTAATATATTATATATAACATATATATATATATATATATATATATATATCTGAGTGGGATTTTTATCGGAACGGATAGGGGTAAACCCAAATCCGATCCGATTTTCAATCAAATTCTACTTGCCCCATCTGAATCTGATCCAAAATTGTATATGGCTCATCCGAATCCAAGATAATCAAATCGGATGTCGGATCGGGCTGTGGAGAGACCCAAAAGTTTTCTAATTCGAGATTTCAGACTATGAACAATGCAACTGACCATATGAGCCAAAATTCGAAATTTCGAATGTCAATTTTAGGTGAATCCAACCAGAATCTGAAATTGTATATGGCTGATTCAATCAAATGCATTGTTCATAATCCTAGATATTCTACTTGCCCTATCCAAAAGTTTTCTACCTTTCAACATGTCTTCCCAAGCTAAACAGACCCAACACCCAAATTCATGTCCAAGTCAACGTCTTTTTGAAGGACAAATAAGCCTACACAATCAAAACCAACGATGTCTAGTCATAGTAACAATCCTATTCAAAGAACCAACACTAACACTACTAGTTCACAACAAAAAAAGGTCTTACATTAAATATTTTAATTGCCATGGTAAAGGAGATGTTGCTTCACATTGTCCAAATTGAATTTTCACCACATGCACAAATGTAGAAGAATCATTTGAGGGTGAAAATGTCAATCAAATTGTTGAGTCTTTAAAGGAACCCTCTGAGTCTGAATTTGAAGATGACCAAGGTTGAGTTGACTACCACCTTAATGTTATGAGGTGCATTCTGTCCACTCCTTGAAACAGATGATTGGAGGCTCACTAGAATTTTTCAAACTTATTTTAAATGTGGGGATGTTGTGTGCAAAGTTGTCATTAATGCAGGCAGTTCCATGAATGTGGTGTTCAAATTTTCCATAGCAAGAATCAAACTCAAACCTGAACCACACCCACAACCATATAGAGTAGCTAGGGTAGACTACCCATAATTGATAGGTGTTTGGTTCCCATCCAGATTGGTGATTATTTAGATAAGATCTAGTGCAATGTTCTCCCTATGGATGTCGTTCATGTCTTATTGGGGAATCCATGGTTATATGATATGAATGTTACCCATTGTGAACAACCAAATGAATACATCACCAAGAACAATGGGGAATCTATCCTTGTGAAACCAGCTAAACCATCCAAGAAGGATATATCCAAAAAGAAAGTGTTCCCCATCGGCCCACCAAAAAGAAAACCTTTGCACATTCTAACTCAGAAAGAATTTGTTTATAACAATTCACTCAACCGATCAACTGGTAAAACACCTTTTCAGATTGTCTATGAGTTTACCCTTCATACACCTGTACACCTGTTGACATTGTTCCCTTACCTCCACATTCCCATACTTCTGCTTCTACTGATTCTTTTGCCCAACCTATCTGTGATTTGCATACTAGTATAAGACAAAAAATTGCTTTAAGTAATGAGAACTATAAACTTGTTGCAAATACACATCGCAAAATTAAAGAATTCAATGAAGGAGATTATGTCATGGTTCACATGCATCTTGAGCACTACCTAAAGAATTCCTTCAAAACATTATATACGCCCAAGCCAATGGCTCATTCTGCATCATCTGAAAGATAGGACCTAATGCATATGAACTTAACTTACCTTCAAACATGGCAATTAGTTCAACTTTCAATGTGGAGGTTTTATTTCCTTATCAAGGCACCTTCGAGCCTCTTACTCTATATGTAGGTGTGCCCACAACCAAAACTACTTCCCCTTCAGTACATGTACCCCTTTTGCTCGAGTTCAGTCTTCACATGTCAAGAAAATCGAGAGTATTCTTCAAGATGAGATTCTCACTTCCAAACTAGGTGGTTATCAGCATTATCTTGTCAAATGAAAAGGTCATCCCAAGACCAATGCTACTTGGATTTCAGAAGAGTAACTTCGTGACCTAGATCTAGATCTATTGGAGGAGTATCGTTCCCTTATCACATTAGGCACAAGCCGAGCCTTTTCACGAGCTACTCGAGCTTGGCTCGCTAAATACTCGAAATTGGTTCACAAGTAATTGAGTTCAAGTTGAGCTCGACTTGAGTTGGTTGGTTGGTTGAGTCGAGTTTGAGCTTCGCAATACCCAATCTCAAACCAAGCTCGCAATCATAATCAAGCTTATAATAAAATATTATTTAATATATATATATTTGTATTTATAATATAAATATATTAATTTTTTTACACTAATTTATTTATAATATAAATAAATAGATTTATAATTAAGTGTCATAATATTTTTTATTTATACTATTTATAATACTAATTTTCTATAATTTTTTAATATATATTCAAGTTTCCTAATATATTTTTATTTTAAAATTTTTTAATGTGTATAATATTAGTTTTGTTTATTATTTTTAATACTAATTTACTTATAATCAACTCAAGTTGAGTCGAGATCAAGTAGCTCGTAAGTATCGAGTCAAGTTTCGAGCTCTAAGTTTAGGACTTGTCAAAAACAAGCTCAAGAAAACTAATACTCTTCTCAACTCGACTACTCGATTAGACCCCTAGTTTAGGAGATGTTTTGCTTAATGTAGGATTTGGGTTCATTTGTAAACTTTCTTTTTTGTTGGGCTCATTTGTAATGTTTCATTTTAGTAAGGGATTACTTGTGACTTTCAATTTTAAGTTTCTTATAAAGCTTAACATTATGTATTAAAGTTATGTTATGTTTCAGAGGAATAAAAATTTTTGAATTCTTCTCTTCTCCAACCTGTCGCTACTATACCACTTCTCTTCTTCCTATTGTTTTGTTTCTTCCTCTTTCTTCTTCTAACAGGCGTTGCATCATATTGTATAGAGCAGAGTGTTGGGCACTTGAGAAATAGCATGTCCCAAAATGAGTGGAAAAAATGTAAATGCTTAGATGGATGAGTGGAAAAATTAAAATGACAAGGTTAGAAATAAGTCATATGAAGAAACCTACGAGTAGCTCCAATAGGTGATAAAATGAGAAAAAGTAGAATGAGATTGTTTGTTCACATGTATAGAAGACCATCTACAGCATCCATTAAAAGAAGTGATCTTTTACAAATTAAAGGGGTTAAGAGACCTTAGGGCCAAATTGAAAAGGACTTGGGTGGAAGTAGGAGTGTTCAAATTCGGTTGATAAACCGAAAACCGAACCAAACCAAACCGAATAAGCTAATTTGGTTCAGTTAATTCAGCTATCGGTTCGGTTTGGTTTTTATATAAAAAAATTGGTTTTCGGTTTTGGTTCGGTTTGACTGAAATTTTCAACTGAACCGAAAACCAAATTAATGTTGTTATTTAGTTAAGTATATTAAACATTAATGTTTTATTTAATACTTTATGCTAATTAATTATTATATTTCCCAATGAACAATTAATAATAGTTAATTAAAAGCTAGACTCATTATTAATTGTTTAGTAGTCATTAATTGTTCATTAATTATTTTTGAAAATGGCCAATTCTGCAATTCCCCATTGGCATAGGGCTTTGGGCCTATTTTAGCTTTTAGTTAATAATAGCTAATTAATTAAAACCATTGGGTTTTGGGGTCATTTTAACTTTTAATTAATAACAGTTAATAGTTAATTAATTAAAACGATTGGGTTTTGGGGCCATTTTAACTTTTCATTAATAACACTTATTAAATGCTTGTCATTTATGTGGAACTAAGGTCCAACCAAACCGAATTCGGTTAGGGTCGGTTTGGTTCTAAAATATAATTTGGTCCGGTTTGGTTAGAGGAAATGGTAAAACTAAATAGTCGGTTAGGTCCTCGGTTTGAACCGAGCCGAACCGACCGATTGTACACCCCTAGGTGGAAGTAGTAAGAAATAATTTAAGCACCCATAATTTAACAATGGATATGTGTAATATGCATAATCATATAATGTATACATGATAGTATTAATTATATACATATATTCAAAATATATAATTATATTCTGAATATAACATATACATTTTTTATTTTATTTCTAATTTTTTATACTAAAAATTAAGATTTGAGATCAATAAAGGCATTTTTTTGGCAAAATAGTGGAGCAAGGCACCTTTGCCCTCCTTGGAATGTGTAGACCACAAAAAGCTACCCAGAATCAAAAAACAATCGCC